GCTTCACGGACAAAGTATATATAACCAAGCATCACTGCTCTCCTCAAAGCCAAATAAAGGACTGAGCAGTTAGAAAAGGGGGAGGTGAAGGAGACAGGCAGTCCATTTCTCCTAACAACCAGCAGCTTTTACAAGTTTTTCTTTATTTTATACACACAAGATACCATCCAGCTTGGTGACATGGGTTTCTAAGCTGGTCTGCAGTAGCAATTTCAGAATTCAAGAGCAGGAACACTTAGCTCTAACTACAGTCCATGCCCACAAACACAGCTGACATGTTTTTAATGAAGGCAACCAGCAATTTCATTTTTCTTCTTGAAAGGCAGGCTAGCAGAGGACTGCCTTCCAGGACCAAATGCTGGCTCCTCTTCCTAGGCAATGAGAGAATAGGTAGGAATTGGTCTTTCCTGCCTACCAGATAGTCCTGAATTCACAGCTGAGGCCACCGGCATCATCGGTCAAGCACATCTCCTGGACACCATCCCTGCTGAGATGCAGCAGGCAGTCATCCACACTGGGAAAGCCAAACCGGACTGCTCCTAGCTTGCAGGCTGTTGATAAAAGCACGGCTGCTCTCAGTGGAGATGGGGCCACCCCACCACCATGAAATAGCCACCAGCGTGCTGAGGATGCTGCCTCTTTGTCCGAGGAACAAAACACTGGGATCACGATAGCTGAAATTGAGCAGATCCAGGCAGAGTAAAAGTGGTGGGGAAAAATGAGAGGTGGCTCTAGCAGGGCCAGTTGGGAAGGGAACCGGGACGCACATGTAGGAGTGGATTAAAAAAGGTTTAGAAACAGTAGAAACAACAGAAAGCACACAGAAGTTAGAGCTGCAAAAAGAAGAAGGAGGAATCTGCTCTGAAAAAAGATACATCTGAAAAAAGACAAGCCTTTGCCCAGCAACACCACCCAGCACCAAAAATACTCTATGTACCTCCACGCTATTTCTTTTCCCCTTCTTCCAGTGTTCAAAGGTGCATCTTTAACACACAGCTTTGTTTTGGTGCACTACAGGTCTAAATAGCAAAGCTGTGCTAAAACATATGCAAACAAAGGGCTGGGGAGATGCCAGAACTATCCCAACACTCCCAGTAGAAGCGAATGGCACAGGCTGTAAAAATAACGTGACGCTCTGGCTTCAGAAAAGGCAGGCAACTACATACCATAATGCCTCAGCTTCCATCTTCTATTTAAAAGCTGGCACTGCTGCCCCAAAGTCTCTTATTCCTGGAATATACAGGAACATGGGGGGAGGGCAGCATTGGGAAAAAAAAGACGGTTAGGTCAAGTCTAAATTAGAAATAATTCAACCTGAGAACAGGAAAATGAGGGAAGTAAAGGGATACTTTTAAGAAGAGTGAAAGAAAGGACAGCAGTGCTCTCCCCTCCTCTCACCCACTAGCCTAATTACCCAGACACCACCCTGCAAACAGGTTCAACTACCCCCTTCTCCTGATTTACAGCTGCAAACTCATGTCTCCAAGCCTCTCAGGGGAGGACTCTTACTTAGGGGGTCTTAATACCCTCTCATACAAAGAGAAACAGCTTTTATAATTCCAGAGGCTCCTTGTGCAGGGACTGGTAATTACCTCAATTCCCCTGTCCCCAGGAAGCACCCGAACTTCTAGGCACATATCTCCTTTCCCAACACTCCTGCAATCCAAGCCTTCAACTAAAATAACGCTGGGTTTTTTTCTGCATCAGGCTCTTTGCTAGCATCTAGTCCCAAAACTAAAGGTTTTTAAACTTGTTTTGAACTGCAGGTTATAAGAAGATTCAAAGAAAACCACATTCACATGTTGGCAACAGACCCACAGTTCTTGTGACCAGGCTCCTCTGAAACGTTACACTGGTCTACACAGGCCAAACATCACTCAATGTTAATCAAGACATCCCAAACTGCCAAAAACTGAGCTCAGGGTGGCATATGCATGCTGAAAGCCTGGAGCCAATGCTGCCGGTCCTGAATGGGTGCAAAGCAGCGCTAACCATTTGGGATACCAGTGCTTTTAGAAAGAAAGGTGACTGCAGCATCAAACAAGGATATGGGTTAAAGCACACAGCCTAATCCTCAAAGATCATGCAGAACTAACTGCATAAAAGGGCTTTGTGTCCCAGAATGCCTTTACGTCCTACTGATGTCGATAATTAAGTGTCCCGCAGACCATGGTGTGCCGTGGGGGACAGCCTGCGGGCACACAGAATCCAAACACAGCACCCAACAGCTCACGCAAACAAAGATAGTTTGAAGTCTTCAGGAAAGCAGAGCAGAGCAATGTTGCAGAGGGGTCTGGGGCATTTGAGACTAACATGGCACTTTTTTGGTACTCAACAGTTCTTCAACCTGCAATGAACTCAGCAACGCATACAAAGTCACACAGGAATATTTACTGCTTGCACAGCATGTGCACAGATAGTTTTAAGACAACTAATAGCAAAGCATTAAGCTAACTCCTGCCACCACCACCATGCCCATAACAAGCTTCTGATTCTTAAAAGGCTTTAGACTACAAATACCCCACCCAAAAACCTAACTGGAAAAAAAACAAATTAAAAAATACCTTCAGAGACCCGAAAGTCAGCCAGGCAGCTTCTGCTTAAAAGTTGTACGCTAGTCTAAAAATATGCCAGAGCAAATTCACAAAGCTACAAAAGCCTGCAAACAAACCTGAAACCCAAGTGACTGACAACGATCATGTTGCAATGCTACAGTATTTTAAAGATGCAGTTGTTTTCATCAAAGAAACATGCACTTTTCTCAAAGCCCTAGACACAGCCCACTGTTTGCTCCAGTACATTGGAAAAAAATATTTTTCAAAGAACATCCCTATACAGACAGGTGCATAGAGTCAAGGACAACAATAATACAGACTTGCCTATAAACAAAGTTTTACGTTGATAATGAAGAGTTATAATGATTTCTATTAAAAAAAGAAGTTGAGATCAAATCTTAGCTTACTGTTTTTTCCAGGTGTCCTGAATAAAAAATTCCCAATGTAAAAAAAAAAAATAAATAAAAAAAGATAAAGAGGCCTTAGTAACTACCTCCCCTTAGCCTAACAATTATATACACTGGTATATTTATTTTGAAGCTTCTAACACAAAGAAACACTTTAGGGCAGTGAGATGCTCCCAGCTGCCAGGGCAGACGGATGCGGTCTGCAGGTGACCCCTGGTACCAGACTCAGCGCCATCATCTCCATCTCACGAACATGGGTGGGAGCTTTCACACAACCTGTCCTCTAGTTGCGAAACCCAAGATCCAGCTCCCTGACCCTAATGCAATATTTTTTCCCCTTAATTACACTGAAAGCGAGACACATTACTGAAGCTAAACTTAAGGTTCAACAGCTGCTCTTTATTAGAAACTGTGAATGGTTACGGTGGACCTTTTTTTAATTCTTACTTTATTTAATGACATGAGGATATAAGCTGTGGTTTTAACTTTCCGTTGGCTGGCTTGTCTTCCAGTTCTAAACAATCAGCCTTCCTCCATGTCACAACAGCTAAAATAACTGAATGAACAGAGGAAAAGAAAAGCTTGTCCGCAAACCAAAGCGAGCGCTAAAATACTTTATCCCGAAGGAACCTCTGGGAATGCCATTTAATCAGAAAATTCCCCTTCTCCTTTTTTTGGCTCGATGTTACGGGTTCTGCAGCAACGCGGGCTGCTTTCCGACAAACCTAACCCGCCCAGTACTTCAAGGACAGTGCTGCCCCAGTATAAGGATGCAGAGCAGATGTGCCCTCGCACACACACGCAGGTCTTCCTGCAGCGCTGGCCGCTCTTCCAGCCGACCTCTCCCACCTGAATGCCAAGCCCGCTGCCCGGAAGACCCCAGGGCCCGAGCTTCCCGGCGCAGGGGGTGAGCCTGGCTGGGCACGCCCCGCACCACCGCGACCTCCGCCCCTCGCAGCGCTCGTCTCACGAACCGACAGCGCGACCCACGCAGACCGCAAGGGAGCAACCCCTTGCGATACTCCTTTTCGCTTTGCCTCCGCGGGAGAAGGCCGGAATCCGAGTTCCTAAAGCACTGTTTGGCAGCCGTGGCCGTTGTCCTGAGGGAAAACGAAGAGCCTGCGTGCCGCCCCGCAGGACCGACCCCTGCGCCGAGACGGCCCGCGCCGCAACCGAGCCTTTGCGCGGGCCAAAGCGAGCCCAGCCGGGATCCAGCGCGGCCGGCCCCTTTCCCCCCCCCCCCAAAACCCGCTTCCGCCACTCACCACCCCTCCCGCCCCGCTCCCGGGGCCCTCGTTACGACCGCCTTTCGTCAACCGGACCCCACAAAGCCGGGCGCAAGGCGGTTCCTGAGCCCGCCGCCGCCTTTGGCGCCCCTTTCCCCTCAGGAGGGGAAGGGCCGGGGGGGCGTCCCTTACCCAGGTGGAGGGTGAGGTTGACGGCGGTGGGGTGCTGCACGCCGGCCAGCATGGTGCGGCTCTGCCACCAGGTGGCGTCGGCCGGGCTGTTGTAGTCGGTGAGGAAGGCGGCGCCGTGGCGCAGGTGGGGCTGGGCGGCGTCGCAGAGGTGGCAGGACTGGGTGACGCCGGTGACGCCGGTCTGTACGCAGTACTCCTCGGCCGGCGTCCCGCACGTGTGGGTGGCCAGCACCGTGGCGTTGAACGCGGCGTTGACGAACTCGGGCATGCAGCGCTGAGGGCGACCGCTCCGCTCCTCCGCGCACTCGTCCATGGCGCCGCCGCACCGGCCGGGCAACCACAGCCACAGGACCGTCAGCCACAACGCCCGCGC